TCTTTTAAGATTGCTTTCTTCTGTTTTTGTATTTGAATCAGCGTGTTTAGCACCAGTTTGTGCTTATATTATTACTCAACATCTAGCTGAAACTATTTCAATTACTCATTGGAATTTATTTCTAAAGACTGTCTGTGTCTCATTGTTTACCGTCATGCACCACATAACATTTCTGTCAGTGACGGACCACACACACAGCCCGTAAGTTACAGTGGAGTCAAGAAATCCCCACAGCCTGGTGACATCATAGTCTTCATGAGGAGAGTCCCACTAGGAAGTCAGTGGAAGAGATGGGGAGGTGGTAGGGATGGCCACAAAAAGTCACAGTGAATCAAAGAGCTTGAGATGGAAGTGCAGCACCCTGCTTTGGGCCCCTGTGTCCTTCTGATTTGTAATTCCTGGGTTGTGTGCAGTGCACAGGCATAGAATGTCAGTTAAATAACAAACTCTTCTGTAGGCTTCTCTGTGGCCCTCTCTGTGCACTTAGATTTTTGAAAAGGTGTCTGCAGTGAACAGGGCTGTGGATGATGGACAGCACAGGGCGTGGCAGCCTCCCCGGTGCAGCCTGCTGTCTCCTGGCCACTGACAGGCCCCTCCACAGACACCCCTCCCAGCAGATGAATCAGATGTGACTATGACTTGGTGGCAGTGCAGGACGCGTTAGATGTCAGGGGTGCCGTGCTCTGTGCCCTCAGTGAGGGAGAGGGTAGAGCTCTAGGCATTGCCGTTCTGTCTCCCATCATCTGCAGAGTGGTGGACAACTCCCTCCCTCCTGGAAGATGGAAGGTTTTGTTGTTGTTGCTTTTGCTCCGGGTCAGAGCTACGTCAATAATCCCACAACAGGAGGATAGTCCTCTAGGGCAAAACCTCTATTTCTATAGCTGTCACGTGACACAAGTTTGGACCATCTGGGGGTGGGGGTGGCGGGCATGCCTTGTGCTCAGCCAGGCTCCACAGAAGAACCTGTAGTCTGTGCCTGTTAGTGGGTGAGAAGGGAATAAAATCCTAGAAAAAGTCTGACATGTGCTTCTCTTGTGCAGAAGTAAATAAAAAGAGAAGGAACAGGTGTGATATGAAAACCTCACAGGAGGACCATTGAAAAAGAGTTTTCAGATGGGTGTTGGAGAGCCAACCTCAGCCACCTTCCCCTCCATAACTCCAGAGCCCCCGACCTTGTGTTCGGTGCATACCTGAGCTGACCACTCTGTGGTTGATCCCCCCTTCCAGGCAGTGCCTGCTGCAAATCAGGCTTCACCGCAGCACTGATAGTGGTGAAAGCTGGAGTCTGCCCTCCCTAAGCCCTCTCCCTAGCGTGCTGGCTTCCAGTGGGTTAGCCCCTTCCTGCTTTGCCTCACATGCTCCCTGCTGAGAGACCCCTCCAGCAAACCTTCCAGAATCTGCAGTCCTGCATATCAAGAACCCAAACTCAGGCTTAATTGATTTGCAGAATACTCACAGAGCTCTTTTGACCCTTAAGGCTTGCTTTCTGGGATGCTTCAGCCCATTTAACTTAGTGTTTCTGAGATTTGCTATAAATTAGTCAACTGGAGGTTCTTGCATTATTTACTAATTGTGTAGTTGTGGGTGACTCAGACTGCCTGCTCTGATTCTAAGGATCTAAACGGCATCTTCATTGAGAGGGTATCTCTGTGCTGTCCCCACTATGCGCACATGTGCCTTTCTCCCTTGTAGATTGGTTAGCAGTCTCCCTTCTGCACTAAAAAATGCTAGTAGGATGTAATGTTTAGCAGAAGGAAGGGAAAATATTTCCAGCTTACGTACCTGATAAGGAACTTGTGTTTAGGTACATCAAGATACCTTACAAAACAGCAAACAAGAAAGGCAAATACTCTCCCCATTGGGAAACTGGCAGGAGATTTGAGCCGATGAGGTGCAGACGGCTGACCGTCCATGGAAACTTGCTCAGTATCATTAAGTCATTCATCTTCATTAGTCATTAGAGCCTGGCAAATCAGGGTCATAGTGCCATACAGCGCATGTCCTCTAAGATGATGGCCATTAGGAAAAGGGGGCAGTCATAGTGAGGGTATGGAGACAATGGAGTCTTCCCAGACACCATGGGAGTCGTGGAGATGTTTAGGAAATGTATCTGGTAGTTCTCCAAGTACAGTTACCAATCATATGGCTCAATTGTTCCCTTCCTATAACTGACATGTGCCACAGAGAGCTTGAATATAAATGTTTGTGGCCAGCGTTAGCCATAACAGCCAAAAGTAGACATAATTTAACACCTGTCAGCTGGTGATCAGATGAGGAAGACATGGCGCATACAGACATGAGGTGTCGTTCAACAGTGAAGAGACTCGGAGAGCACTGTGGGAGAGGGGGCAGAAAGAGTGTGAGAGCAGGAGGGGGGAAGAGAGCTGTGGACTGCTGGCCTCCAGACATGAACAACTGTTATACACATTAACTCATACGTGCTGTGGTTACCCACACCAGACCTCCACAAGATTAAGAGAATTACCTTACACCACACACACACACACACACACACACACACACACACACACACTCATGTGCACACACCTTACACACAGACACTCACACAGAGACACACACCCTACACACACATAAACACACACATTCACACACTCACACAGACACACACACAGACAGATGCAGACACACCCTATACACACTCACACATACATACCTTACTCACATACATACACACACTCACATACACAGACACATACATATACACATATACACACATACACACCTTACGCAACACTCACACTCCCATACACAGACAGACATACACACACTCACACACACACAGACACACACCCTACACACACACAAACACACACACACAGACACCCCTAAGGAGCCAATGGCAATTAATGGATATTGAGACCACCCGGTCTACAAAGTGAGTTCCAGAACAGCCAAGGTTATGCAGAGACACCCTGTCTTGGAAGACAAACACATACATAAAATAATGAATAAGATCTACTAAAAATGAAGTTTAACACCAAAGAGAACTTAGTACAGTGACGTGCTGCATGCTTTGATCAGGCATGGGCCTCAGGTTCGTGGTTGGTTGGAGTGACTGAGAAATTCCCACGGCTTGGTTACCTCATCGTTCTGCTGACTTGAGACCCACCACACGGTGCAGTAGCAGGGTTGTGTAATTACAATAGTAGCTGAAAACAACAACAACAACAACAAAAACAAAAACAAAAAACAAACTTCTATCCCTGCTTAGCAGCCCCCAATTTTATAGCAGGGGAAGCACCCCTACTTGCCAGTTCAGAGTCGTGGGGCTATCGTCGGTGTCTACCCATGTCACTCTGCATGTCTGGGGCCATTCCTCCTTTTAGGGCTCCTCCTATCCCTTTTGCTGACAAGCTGTAGGGTTTCACCTTAGTGTAGCTGCCTGCATGCCCGTGTGACCGGGAGCTCTTTGATGGAAGTGGTTGGTCTTTCGTCCAGATCCGAGTCACTGCGTCTCGGATCTGCTGGAGCACCCTTAACGACCCTTCAGACCTTACCAGGCCTTTCAGACCGATGGCTGCTCAGGTCTCCAGGGGTGTGAAGTGGAGCCAGGCCAGCATCAGACTCTCAGCAGGGCTGTTGTGAGGATTAATGCTTTAGCAGAAACAATCTCCTGCCCCTCCAAAAAGACATTAATGAAGTGAAAGTTTTTATTCTGCCAGGATGCTTATTTTTAGTGCTAATTTGTGCCGCCAGGTAGCATCTGAAGTACAAGTGCTTGGGTTTTCACTGATGCCCAGGGTTTTACCCAATTAATCTGCTGTTCAGAGTTCCTCTGTGCATGTCAGGTCAAGGATTGTTGTCTTGGAGGCAGCTAAGATGGGTCAGTGGGGGAGGGGCCTGCTATGCAGGAATGAGGATAGAATTCAGATTTCCAGAGCCAACATTAAACTTGGATGAGGTGGTGAGTGTCCCTAGCCCCAGTGCTGGGCAGGCAGAGACAGGAGGGTGCCCAGAGCTCATTGGCTAGCCAGTTTAGCCGGGGAGCTCCAGCCCCAGTAAGAGACCCTGTCTCAAAAACTACATGGAGAAAAGTGATGGAATAAGATACCAATGTGTTTTTAAAAATATTTTTATTAATTTTTGAGAGATTTATGTAATATAGTTTGATCATATTCATCCCAGCTGCGCCTTTTAACTCTTCCCAGGCCCACACCAACATCCCCAACCCTACCTCCAATTTCATATGCTTTTAAAAATATATAATAATTCACCAGCCCCAGCTGTGTGCCTATCTGCTTCTGGGCGTGGGGCCATCCACTGGGGTGTGGTTAACCTAATGGGCCACACCCTTAAAGAAACTGATTCCCCTCCATAGAAGCAGTCAGCTCTCCATAGCTCTTCGGTTGGGCGTAGGAACTCAGGAGCCCCTTCCCACTCTCTGCTGGGCTGCCGGCCGCCTTGATGTCACACGGGCCACCACAGCCGCTGTGAGTGCCTCAGAGCGATGCTCCTGCCATGTTCAGAGACACGTTTGTCTCTGGTCCACCCTGATCTCTGGTTCTTAAAATCTTTCTTTCACCTCTTCCGTGGCTGCCTCTGAGTCTTGGGGAGAGAGACCACTCAAGGTTGGCCTCTGGGTTCCACATGCAAATTCCACACATACACACACACACACACACACACACACACACACACACACACACACACACGATCTCTCTGGTTTTGTTTATCTATTGCAATGGTCTTCAGCTGATGGGTTGAGACCCTTTGGGGCACATATCAGATATTTACATTATGATTCACAAGAGTAGCAAAATTACAGTTATGAAGTAGCAATGAAATAATTTTATGGCTGGGGGCCAGCACAACATGAGTAACTGTGTTAAAAGGTCGCAGCATTAGAAAGATTGAGAACTGCTGTTCTGTAAGACTCTACGCTGGCCGGGCGCATGCAGGGGACAGGCCCGGTGTTCTCGGCTGACGCCCCACCCTGGTGTTTTTCTCTGCCTCACCCTTTTCCCCTTTCTGGTCTGCAGTGAGATGAAGCAGAGGCTGGCCGAGGAGAACAGCAAGTGCAGCATCCTCTCGAAACACCAGAAGTTCGTGGAACGCTGTTGCATGAGGTGCTGCTCGCCCTTCACCTTCCTGGTCAACGCCAGGCGCCGCTGCGGGGAATGCAAGTTCAGCGTCTGCAAGAGCTGTTGCTCCTACCAGAAGCGCGAGAAGCTGTGGGTTTGCTGCGTCTGCCAGCAAGCCAGGTGAGTGGCTGTGCACTTGGAGGGCCGGGCTGATGGCAGCACCACATCCTCCCGCTGGGCAGGACCAGTGTTGACCCACAGGTGTGTCCAGACCACTGATGCGAGCCGAGGACTGTCTGAGAGGAGCCACGGGAGAGCACAAAGGAGGCTGTTGAAATGAAACATATAGCCTCTCCCATGCTCCACCCACCCTTTTAAAATTCCTCCCGGGGTCTTTCATTCTTTCCTACGTATCCTGGGTTCGTGGTAATTGCACTGTACGTTGGAAACATGAATGAACGGGCTCCTAATGAGGACATGAAAGAACACATCCGTGTTAGCCTCCACGTATGCTGCCACAGGCAGGCCCCAGTCAAGTTTTCCATCCACTGTGGGGACACTGAGCATGGGATACCAAGCAATGGGTTTGGAGGAAGCCTCACAGAGGCCGAGAAATGAATACAGAATTGTCAAGGGTAAAACGTAGTCGGTGTGTGCAAGGCTGGGATGGGACGCTGCCGCAGCATGAATAGAGTGACAACTTTGCGATTCATAGTCTCCCTGGGATGCGTTGAGTATCTGGGAACTGATGAGTTTGATAGTTGCTTTATAAATCTCCTCATTCTAGTGTCTGTGCAGTTCACTGCCATCCCGGCTGCTCAGTAGCCCTGTGTGGCATGACTGAAGCAGGCTGGCTGTGCCTGAGCACACAGAAAGCTGGCCTCCTGTCTTGCCTTTCTTCATCATCTCTCCTCTCTCTGCTGTCTTGCTTAGATTTTGTTTTTAAAGATTTATTTATTTATTTATAATGTTTACAGCATTCTGTCTGCATATATGCCTGCAGGCAAGAAGAGGGCACCAGATCTCATTACAGATGGTTGTGAGCCACCATGTGGTTGTTGGGAATTGAACTTGGGACTTCTGGAAGAGCAGCCAGTGCTCTTAACCTCTGAGCCATCTCTCCAGCCCCTTGCTTAGATTCTTCAACACACAAAGTCCTACCATTTTCCTAGAAAGCTAGTTCATGGGGATAGTGGCTGAGTGGGTGAGTGGGGTCTCCAAGAAAGTGGGTCTTCACTGTAAAGAGCCAAACAGCTCAGAGATGCCAGCAACAGTGGGAAAGTGGTTTGTTCATCAGCCAGTGTGCAGGCTTGGGTGCTCCAGGCCCTACACCAGTGTCCAGGCTTGGGTGCTCCAGGCCCTACACCAGTGCCCAGGCTTGGGTGCTCCAGGCCCTGTGCTTTGCATAGCTTGGACCTGTCTCTTTTCCACATGGAGGCTCAGTAGACAGGGAGAGGCCTAAGACAAAGGGAAGACCCATCGTAGCTGGCTGTTGTGAGCCTGTGTCAGAAATGTAGACAAACATGTTTTTTTACACAATGTCAGGGTGTGTTGGCAAATTCAAGGGTGTGGCAGCTTCACCAACAATGAGTTACCAAATATCTGTGCCTTGCTTGATGACCTCAGATGAACATGGTTTCTTTTATTCCAATCTTAATTACTCTTATTCACTCTCAGATCACACACTACCCACACCACACTGTGAATCCATCATCTTTCTGTCTGTGTGTCTTTCTGTCTATCATTCTATCTATTGATGTATACGTAGCTTACAAAATGGCTGCAAAGGGTTAAAGAGGCAAGAAGCCTCAAAAAGATCTGGAGAACTATGAGGTTGCAAGAGCATCTCAGGGAGGTGAGAGGGCCAAGCACTCGGAGATCTCTGGAGATGTTTTGGCAGCTGCTATAGGCTGAAGGGTCATAGCTGAGCTGGAGGCATGAGGTGAAGCAAAAGACAGGACCAGGGCCTGATGAATAAGCAGACGGACAGAGGGACAGCAGGTCCAGACAGGTGATCAGGAGGACAGGCAGCTGCCACAACAAAAGGAACAGAGCTGAGCTGAGGCCTCAGAGCATCCGAGAGTCCTCCACCCATCGTCCTTGATGCACATGCTAAGTGGCCAGGTGACTGGCAGCAGGGGCTGTCACCATCTCGTTGTTGGATGTCCACTGCTTTGCAGGTTCAGGTGAGGGAGTTAGACTCTTCAAATGTGTCTACTGAGTTCTTGGGCCTCGTTTTCCAGGTATGGCTATAATACACCCATGTGTTCCTGAGGCACACTTGGTGTTCCAAGGCAGTCAGTCACTTACCAGTCAGTGGTGGATGGGCGGCCCCTGTCAGATGGTACCCATCCCAAGTGCAATCATTCTCTATCCTTAAACAGCACCAAAGCTTCTTGTAAAATGGAGTCTGTCCAAGCAAGGCACAGGCTGAAAGCCACTGTTTTACACAACACAGAGTAACTCAGGGCAGGGAACAGCCTGGTGAAGCAACTGTGCTTGGGACTGATAGGTGGGTCTGGCCCAGTCTCATGCTCCTTAGTGAGCTAAGAGTGGTGCGTGTCAGGGTGGAGGGTGGCTCAACAGTTAGAGCACTGGCTGCTCTTCCAGAGGACCCGGCTTCAGTTTCCAGCCGGTGGTGCTCAGCACTGGGAATGGCACTCAGCACACAGTGGGATGGTCCTCCATCCTGAGGTTGGTGCTCTGCAATGAAATGGTCCTCCATCCTGAGTTGGTGCTCTGCACTGAGGATGGTCCTCCATCCTGAGTTGGTGCTCTGCACTGGGATGGTCCTCCATCCTGAGTTGGTGCTCTGCACTGGGATGGTCCTCCACCCTGAGTTGGTGCTCTACACTGGATGGTCCTCCATCCTGAGTTGGTGCTCTGCACTGGGATGGTCCTCCATCCTGAGTTGGTGCTCTGCACTGGGATGGTCCTCCATCCTGAGTTGGTGCTCTGCACTGGGATGGTCCTCCACCCCGAGTTGGTGCTCTGCACTGGATGGTCCTCCACCCTGAGTTGATGCTCTGCACTGGATGGTCCTCCATCCTGAGTTGATGCTCTGCACTGAGGATGGTCCTCCATCCTGAGGTGGGTGCTCTGCACTGAGGATGGTCCTCCACCCTGAGTTGGTGCTCTGCACCAGAAGCGATCCCCCCTGCACTCGGGATGGTGCTGCACACACACTGAGTGTGACTCTCTGCTCTGGAAACTCACACGAATCCTAGTTTTGTCCTCTGCTGAAAACACCTCCAGGAGGAAGAGCCTGGGCTCAGTGGTCCCTCTTCTGTAAGATAAGTCTATTAGCTGTGCATGAACTCAATCAGGATTTGAACCCTGAGTTAACTACTCGTGTACTGTGTGATTCTAGGCAGGCTACTCCATCTTTCAGAGTTTGGGGAAAACAATACTCACTCAGCTGTAACAGAAAAGGGGCAATGTAAACTTCTTAGCTCTGCCTTGGCTGTAATTACTTGCCACTGTTAATTCTCTTGCTGTCTTTCTGGGGTCTCAAAATAGGTATTTTCCTAATAAAATATTAAGCTAGTGTGATTGCTTCTGAGCAGAAGTCATTTCCTCCATTTGTGGTATTTCTTTATTTAGCACTGTAAAAATAATTTAGTTTTTATAAAAATGTTTACTTCCCAGCGCTGACCTGGGGCAGCTAAGATAAGATGAAGCTGGGGTCACAGATGGAGACTTGGTCTCCAGGGATGGAGGGAATTGGGACTCAAATCGTTGTTGAATAACTTTAATAGTGCATTACTCTGTATTTCAGCATCCCCGGGGGGCCGAGCCGTGTGTAGGAGACAGTAGCCTCCCAACAAAGCTGGTGAAATTATTTGTGTTGTGCCACACTGTGCATTGCAGCTTTCTTCTCCCATAAAATAAGCAGAATTGTCCACCTAAGTTAGTGCTGTGTTGTCCCGCGCGCTGTATGTTCTCGCCGGCAAGAAATACACGCAGGACACTCGGATCCTTCTGCAGAAAAGCTTTAATGCATCTTGAGAGGGGAGAGCATAAGCTTACCAGAGCGGAGACCCTGAACCAAGAATCCCATTCCTTAATAAAGGCTGGCAAGCAGCCGCCTGGGACGTGTTACCCTATGAATGGCTTCAGCTCCTCAGGCCAAATGAGCCACGGGATAGGCAGAGATCAAAGGAATGGAAATTACCCAGCGCCTGTGAAATAATTTACATTTGGTGTCTGCAGGCACCATCATTGTAATGGAGAATGCAGGAACGGCTCCCTACACTGTGTAGCTAATATCTTTTAACTTGGCCGCAGGGGTTGCTGGGTAACCAGTATGGCCAAGTTGGTGAGCTCCGGGTATGTTGAGAGACCATGCCTCAGTGAGTAAGGCAAAGAAGGAAAGAAGGGAGGAAGAAAGGAGGGAGGGAGGGAAGGAAGAAAGGAAAAAAGGAAGGCAGGCAGGAAGGCTGGCTAGAGAAGACACCCATTGTCAGCTTCTGGCCACCACATGCGTGCACACATGTGTGCACAGATGCATGTACACATACACATATGAACACACATGGGCAGAGAAGGTCATGTGTGCACGATGTACCTACATATACACATATGAACACACATGCGCAGAGAAGGTCATCCTTGGCTACGCAGTGGAGTCCAGACCAGATGGGACTGGACACTATCAGATCCTGTCTCTTTACAAAACAAAATAAAATAATGTGGTAAGAGTTTATGACCTCTCACCCAAATGATGGACTAAACTGTCACATCCTGTGGAAGCCCCCCTTCCCCAAGTGCTCCCCTCTCCCAAGGAGCCATCACTTTGTGTTCATTTATTCCTTCATGCTGTTAGTTTAACTGCAACCTTGTTTTGATTTAAAATTCTTAAGCAATACACCCAATAGTTAACCTCTTTGTAAAACTTGCATCATTAACTGGGCGTTGGTGGCACACGCCTTTAACCCCAGCACTTGGGAGGCAGAAGCAGGCGAATCTCTGTGAGTTCGAGGCCAGCCTGGTTTCCAAAGCTACACAGAAAAACCCTGTCTTGAAATTAAAAAACAAACAAACAAACCCGTGCACCATGTTCAGTCTGTCTATCTGTGTGTCTGTCTGTCTATCAATCAATCATCTATCCACCCCCATATATGTATCCACCCCCATATATGTATCTTCTATCTATCACTGTCATTTCCCCCCTTGAATCTGTTCCAGCTTGCCATGTTTAATCTATGTTGATGCATGCGGTTCCTTTATGCAGTGCACAGTGCTCGCCCGTGTTCCCCATGCTCATTGCGTGTCCCATCCTCCTTTGCAGGCAGATTGTCACCTTATGATCAGTTTGGGGCAGCCAACTCTGAGCACGCAGGTCTTAGGTGCTAAAGTTGAGGCCGTTAACCAAGATGACTGTTTTCTCATGGTGATGTGAGGAGACCTTTATTTAGATCGTGCGTCTGGAAGGCAGTGAAGTCAGGCATTAGCTGGAATTTCAAAGTGGCTTTTGTGGAGAGGAGCCTCCTGGCAGCTGGCATTAGATGTGTAAGATGAGAAAAATGTCCCTTGTGGGTTTTAGGTAAATGGGGGTTGGAAGTTAACAGAGGAAAACTTATCCGTCCTGACTGAGACGCCGCTTGCATTACTTCATTGTTTGCGTGTTTGTGTTTCTCGGCTTTTGGTGTTATAAACCAGTGCTGATGCGCACACGTATACTGTATACTCTCTTGTACACTCATGTGGCCTGTCCTTTCCAGGACACACAGCTGAGCCTGGCTCTCCTGTTGTACCACACACAAGCACTACCCTGCTGAGCATGGACCAAGTGTGCTCCAAGGGGAAAAGGTTTCAGTCCTCAGACTCTGTAGAAGCGTCTGTGTGTCAAATCCTTGCTAATAATTGATGTTAAAGTGTATTCTTTAAAATATGTATTTATTATGTATAGTGTTCTATCTACACACATGCCTGCACACCAGAAGAAGGCATCAGATCTCATTATAGATGGTTGTGAGCCACCATGTGGTTGCTGGGAATTGAACTCAGGTCCTCTGGAAGAGCAGTCAGTGCTTTAACCTCTGAGCCGTCTCTCCAGCCCTAAAGTGTATTTTTTGTTGGTGTGGGCTGTGTGTACATGTGTTCCTAGGCATGTGGGGCCCACACACATGTGTGTGCATGCGGAAACCAGAGATGGTACCTGGTGTCCTACTCTGTCATTCTCCCCCTTACACATCAAGGTGGGATCTCTCACGCGGACTCTTAGTCTGGCTAACCAGCTTGCTCTGGGGATCCCGTCCCCACATCTCAGGGGCCACCATCACACCCACACTTACACAGCAAGTGCTTCACCCCTGAGCCACCTCCCCAACCTTAAATTATTTTTAACTTCGCTAAATCTGACAGATGTAAGGCTTTAGTTGCATTTAATTTGCAAAACACAAGTTAGAGTTTGATTTGTTTTTTGTTTTGTACATGGATTTAAACATTGTGTGTGTGTGTGTGTGTGTATGTGTGTGTGTGTGTGTGTGTGTTCTCAGGTATGTATATTTTTCCTTGATCAAGCATGTATTTGTAAACTTCACTCATTTGCTTCTTAGTGACAAGTAGAGTTCTCTTTACATGACTGACATCAGTCTCCAGCTATGGCCTGTCCTTTCCATTTCATGTAGAATAATGACTGTGAACTTCTAAAGTATGACTCCCTCTGTCACCTTGTTCATCTCCCCTTACCCTGGCAATGCTTAAGGACAACAGGAGACATCCACAGTCCACATGCACCTTCTTCTCCTTGGTCTAGCCCAGGTGTCTCATGGTTGCCCAGTGAAGGCTAGACCAACTGTAATGAGAGCTTCTTTGTCCTGCCAGGTCCTGCCACCCTTCTCAGCCCAAATAAACACACAGATGCTATATTAATTATAAAACTGTTGGCCGGTGACTAGGGCTTCTTATTGGCTAGCTCTGTCTTAATTATTAACCCATCTCAATTTATGTATTACCACAAGGCTGTAGCTTGTCCGGTATTGCCCTGGCATGTTGCTACTCCTTTGGCTGCATCACGATTCTGTGTCAGGCTGTCCTGCCTACCTTTCCCAGAATTCTCCTCATCCTAGTCCTGCCTACCTTCCTGACTTGTTGGCCAACAGTGTTTTATTCATCAACCAATAAGAGAAACATATGTACAGAAGGACATTACCGACAGTTTGAATCACTGTACCACAGAGGAGTGGGCACCCGGATCCCACTGTGTGTCTGCCTGGCCTTGTCTCTTCCTTGCTTGTCCAATCTTCAGCACTGTCTGAGATGGCTGACAATAAGGTTGGAAAGGACTCTGGAAAGGCAAAGACAAAGGCAGTTTCCCGTTCGCATCGATCCAGCTTGCAGTTCCCTGTGGGCTGTATTCATGACACCGGAAATCCAGGACAACCAGCCACGGACATGTGGGCACAACCGTCACTGGGTGCAACACAGTCATCTTGGAGTACCTCACTGCAGAGGTACTGGAGTTGTCAGGAAATGCATCAAAAGACTTAAAGTTAAAGCATATTACCCCTCATCGCTTGCAGCTTTCTAGTAGTGGGGATGGAGAATTGGACTCCATGATCAAGGCTACAATCGCTAGTGGTGGTGTCTTTCCACACATCCACAAATCTCTGATTGGGAAGGACAATAGAAGACTGCCTAAGGATGCCTGAATTCCTTATTATCTTAGGACTCTAAATATTCTTAACAGCTGTCCAGTGTCAGTGATTCCAGCGACTGTATCTCTGTGAAAAACACAATTTTGCCTTTTTGTAATTCTATTTGAGCAAGTTAGAGGCTTAATTAGCCCTCCGGCCAACCAAATTTCTGCATTGTCTTAACCATATTTAAGTGTTACTGTGGCTTCAAAGAAGCTATTGATTCTGAAGTAGTGGGTTTTGACTGAATTGACTGTATTTTAATTGTGATGCAGAAGTTATAGTAACAAACATTTGGTTTTGTATAGACATTATTTACCACTCTGGTGGATAAGCTCAATAAAGGTCATATCGAAGGAGAAGAAGGATCCTCATCATCTCTTTTCTGTCTAAATAAAAAGGGTTTTACTTTAACATAGGAAAATATATAACAAAATAGTTATCAAGTAAGAACTATAGTTAACAATATTTGTCCATTAACATTTAGCAAAAGTTAAAGAAAATATTCTATCTTTGTAAGTCTAAAGTCTTATATGTAGCTTATTTTTTATCATAACTAAGGAAAACTATAACCATAACTATCTGTCTTCAACTCCATCAAAGACCACAGAAGGATAATATATAAACTCTAGAATTGACAGAGACATCGCACTGCCTAGACATTCACCCAAAGTTCTTCTGTAATGTTGGGGCATCCATATTCAGCCCATAGGTGTGTCTGGCAGACTTCTCAGTGAAGCAAGAAATTTTAAACTGTCTGCCTACATTGGCAGTTTGTCTGTCTTTTTTCTCTGTGTCCTGCAGAATGTCTGGCAGACTCTTCCATGAAGCAGGAACCCTACAGGACTATTCCATCTTGTTTTGACAAGTCCTGCATGTCCAGTTTATACAGTATACAGTCAAACAGTCTAGGCAAGAGTGCAGTTTCTTGCCCAAATGGCTTGTCTTGCTATATCAAAAGCAAACTCTATAACAAGTTTCTTCGATGCCCATCTTCCTCTCTGAAGTAATTGGTGTTGCCAGGAGCAGTTGTGTCTCACTATCATAAAAACCCTAAACCATTTTAAATGCCATATTTTGAAGGTCTTTGAAAGGTTTGAAGAATATGCATTTCAAACATATCTGTATATCTAGAAAATCTAAATAACCTAACTATAAGTTTTGACTATTATAGGTGACTATATATAGTCTGTATTTAATTATATGTTACATTTTAAAAGATCTGTATAAACACAATACTTAAACAAGAAGAGAAATATACATATCACAAAATTGACCTTAAATTTGTTTAAGTAAATGAAAATCCATAGCAAAGCAAAGTATCCATCCTATTGCCCTTTTTTCTTTAGAAAGAGATTGGTTGTGATCATAAAACATTTATAACCAACCTCATTTAAATGAAAACAAACAGTTATAAACAGTATTTGGGAATTTGGGTGTAGTTATCTCCAAACTGCTTCCTGCTGTTTGGGGGCACTGTCAAAACCATGGGGTTCATGATAAAACACAGAAACCTGGCCAATTCCTGGCTGTAGTGGTCTGCAAGGCTTCATCATCCCAGCTGTGTTGGATGTTGGATCACTCGGGCCAGTGCTTCAGGGGGTCTTGCTTGAACAAACCTTATTGGCCTGGAAGGAATCCACAGCTCTTCATCTTCTGTGGAAACAAAAGCAGAACCTCTTTTCTAAAGTAACCTGTCCTTAGACTTAAACTTTGAAGTCATCGCATTTTCAAAATATATAAGTTGGATTAATTCAGCAGCATTTATAATCAAATGTCTGTTAGCAGTTATTGCTGTTTCCTCAGCAATCAAACAATTCAAAAACAACACAATAACATACTCTGTATCCAGACTCTGTATTTTCCATCTTTATGTGACTTTTCCTTAATACTCTATTTCTTTTACTTTATTTTCTAAGACAGGGCTTCTCTGTGTACTTTTACCTGTCCTGGAACTCACTCTATAAACCAGGCTGGCCTTGAACTCACAGAGATCCACCTGCCTCTGTCTTCCAAGTGCTGGGATTAAAGGTGTGTGCCACTACACCCAGCTACTCTATTCTTTTTCCTTTTTTTTCTCTCCCAAGTCTATGTATATTTGTAAACTCACTATAAACCCTTTAGAGGTTTTACTTCATCTGAATATGTCTTTACTGTATATCTCTACCTTTTTCTACCCACAAGTCTTTTATCTGCTAAACAACATTGCTAAAATTAAAGCAGACGTTTTAGCCGCTGGCTTTCCAACATGGCAGAGGTAGGTTTACCGCCAGCACTGGGAACTGTGCTTACCGCCTTGGTCTATACCTCTATTAATCAGCATTTCTGAAGGCCAGCTGCTTGTACACACCATTCCACTGTTAGCAGGGCCTCTTAAAAGAGCCTTGCAGGTTTTGCCATTTATGCTGAGTCAGGAAGACTCCCTTAAAGGAGCCTCGAGCCTCCACTTGTCTCTAACAAACAGAGACCACCCGAGAAAATGCTGCTACCAAGAAGCCATGCTTGCCTCTGTTCTTTTGTTTTAAAAACCCCTTTTAAGCTTTTTTCAGGTTCTATGTGGAAAATCATGCAACCCATGTTGGCGCCATTTTGTAACTTGAGGTTCTTTGCTGCCAGCCTGGTCCACAGCTGCCTCAATCCCAAATAAACACACAGCCACTATATTAATTATGAAACTGTTGGCCAATGGCTAGGGCTCCTTATTGGCTAGCTCTGTCTTAATTATTAACCCATTTCTATTAATCTAAGTATTTATATGTGGTCTTATCTTATCAGAGAAGGGTCTGGACCTCTAACTCCTTTGGCAGCTCACATGGTGAGTGCTAAGTGTCTCCACAGAGAAGAAAGCAATTTCCTGTTTGTCCCTACTTATATCCTGATTCTGCCCAGCTATGTCACTTCCTGTCTGTCTGTACAGACCTCCAGACCTCTGTGGTTAGGTAGTGCCAAATTTCTGCCCAGCTGCATCACTTCCTGTCTGGCCAATCATCCAATTATTCATTTTATTCATTAACCAATAAGAGAAACATATTGAAAAGAACATTCCCCATCAACCAACTCCTGTCCAAAATTAGTGGGATACAGAGATGATGTCACAGCCCTCCAAGCCTTCTACTCTTCTCATGAGGCTTTCTGGAGAGTGAAGCCTCATGGTCGTCCAAGTGCCCAGAGAGCAGAGGGAGTGGACCGTGTCCTCATGACAGTGTCTAGGGAGTAGAAGCGGCCTCCTCGCTGGAACTGGAGCTCACCTGAGCTAGGCTGGTTAGCAAGCGTCAGGGATCGCAGATGTGAGCCATTGTGTGGCTCTTGGCAGGGTGTAGAGCCTCATGTTCACACACCAGGCACTTGGCTGGCTGAGCCAGCTCCCCAGCTCCTATTTTACATTTCTAAGAATTCTTTTTACTGAAACGATGAGAACAATATTAAAATATTTTAAAATGTCATACAACACAATAACTATATCAACAACATTTTATTTTAAAACAAATATAAAGTCTAGGGTATATATGAAGTTTAGGAGACCAATACAGAACCTTGGGCATCAGAATCTTGACTAGTAATCAACTTGATTTTAATAAAATTCCCATTTTTTTTACATTGTGGTATTCCATCATCAAGATGCCTCTTAAAAACAAAGTGCAACATACTTGCCAGACACCAGGGGAGAATAAGTTATCATTCTAATTGTTCATTTATAGTATGACTTTATGTGAAAGGTGTCTACTGCCAGTTGAGTTCTGTGCTGGTGGCGCTGTGCGCCCTCTCGTTTAACTCTCCGTGGATACTGAGCTCTGGTGGCATCTTTTTCCATCACGATACAGCAAATGGAGAAATGTTCCTGTGCTGAACAGTCTCATCACCCAGGACTGTGGGTAAAGCAGAAATGCTTCCGAGTGCTGGGGCTTGGGAGACTCGAGTATTGGCAGTGACACTGCCTTGGGAGAAGTCAGCCTGATGTTTTGTTCATGTACCATGGCCGACAACCTCCCTACCCAGATTCCACAGGAAGTTAATCTTGAGGAAATGTCAAAAAAAATCTGAGCCACACTGTACAGAGTAAACTGCTTTAATTCCTCAAAATGTTGGTATCATAAAAGTGAGGGCTGAGAGCTGGCTCAGGAGATAGACTCTTGCTGTGCAGGCCTTAAGGTCTGAGTTCAAATCCCTAGCATACACATAAAAAAAAAAATCCAGGCATAATGGTGTGGGTCTGTAACCCTAGAGCTTGAGGAAAAGGGGTGCAAGTGTTGACAGAAGTTTCTGTTCCTCCTGGTCCCGCAGCCGTTCAGTCCCAAATAAACACACAGAGGCTTATATTAATTATAAACTGTTTGGCCAATGGCTTGGGCTTCTTATTGTCTAGCTCTCTCTTAATTATTCACCCATTTCTATTAATCTGTGTATCTCCACGTGGTCTTGGCTTACTGGAGAATGCCTGAGTCTCTTGTTTTCTCCACAGCTACGTGGCATCTCTCTGACTCCACCTATTACCTTTCTGTATCTCTGTTTGCATTTCCTGCCTAGATAAATCCTGCCTGTCCATTGGCCAAAACAGTTTTATGCATCAACCAATAAGAGAAACATATGTCCACAGCATACAGAAGGACATCCCCATCATGCAGGGATAAAACAGATGGGCCCCTGGGCTTCAGGGCAGCTAGTCCTGCAGTGAACTCCAGGCTCAGCAGAAGATTAGAGCCCTCAGTAGCGATCCACACAGTGCTCTTCACCACATTTGCTTAAGATTATTAACTTTTATGCCCACGCCTCTGTAATATCCATGGTGTTGTAGCACCTGTGAGGTCTGCCATAATACTGTAGAGCAACCCATTTCCATGATTCCACATGTTTCTTTTACATTTTGTTTGCACCTGCAGCTGCTCCGTGCACCTGCAGCAGCTGCTCCGTGCACCTGCAGCAGCTGCTCCGTGCACCTGCAGATGCTCCCCTGTTCACCTGCATCTTCTCATGCAGGTGTCCTTTGGTCTCTGACTATTATCTGAAGGACTCTAGGC